CATTCATTCATTCATTCGTTCTTCTTCTTTCGGGTTTATGCGTTTGGGTTTTTCTGCGCTTATTTCATGTTGCGTTTTATTATTGCTATGGGTTTAATTAGCCGAGTTTCAGTGGGGTTCATTCGCAATAAACTACAATTCAACGCATGTCTTCACATCGTTCTTCTGCTTCAACCATCCACATTGGAATAGGACTCAACTCTTATTTCATAATCAAAGGACCAACATTTCAACAAAAAGAGTTGCAATCAATCTACTGAATACCTCATAAGAATCTATTAGAATAAAGCTAACAAAAAACTTTCACGACAACAGTTGAGTCAGGATAGTGATAAATAGGAAATAAAAGAAATTAGGAGAGTGGTAACCAAATGGAGCAAATATTAGTATGGATGAATGAATGGAAAATTTTTTCGTGGTGAAATTGAACTCTTTATATATGATTATTTGTAAAGAGATGTTGTGATACAATTCAATGGAATACAAAAGTAGCTATGCAGAAGAAATGAGAATGGATGTTTGGATAAAAAAAGGGCTGATAAGCATAACCATCGAATGTAAGATTAGTCATGATGAGAATACTTTAAATTAGCTTTATTTGGAGATAAGACTGGGAACTAAGAAAAAAATAAAATAAGAAAAAAATCGGGATCTCGGCACATCACATAGTCCGTCTTTCAAATTTGAAAAGCAAAATTAGGCTAAGAAAAATTAGGTCCGAGCTACAATTATGTAAGGAAGCAAATTTTTGAGAAAATCTTTTTTGTTTTCAATTCTCATCGTCATCACTCATTCAGATAAAAGCTAGTAAAAAAAAATCACTATTCTGAAATTATGGAAACACTGTAAATTCACCTAACTTGATTTTTTCAAATGACGACTTTTATCTTAATAAACGTACACAAAGATGATAGTTTCCGACGATTTTTAATAAGATATTAATTAGTCTGAAAGTATTACATTCAGACATAAACATAAAAATTGTCAGAAAACGGAATTTATGGTAACAATGTAGAAATCTTTTTGATGACTCATCACTTGTAATAAATGTAAATGAAGGTTTAGAGTGTTTCATGTGTTTAGCAAACTCTCATGTTCAACTCCAATGATAAAGACTAATTCATATCTAAACAAAAATGAAGGACTAATCAGTTAAGAACAACAAACTCACCAACATGTAATAAATATCTCTTGGAATTTTTCGGTTAAAATCGCAAATTCTTAGTTTTCTTAATATTGTTAACTTCATATTTGTTATTTGATATTGCTCAATATTAAGAAACAAATATAGAATTACTGAGAGAGAAATAAAATTTTATTTCTGTTTGATTATTGCATTGTCCATTTCTTCCGGTTGTCACACTGAACACATAGTAGCGCTAACAAAAAGCTCATTATGTAGAAAGTAATCGATGGAAAACGCAGTATTAAGAAATTAAAGATTACACATTCCTCAGGTTAAATGGCTGATTTTTGATTGGTCAGGAATAAATTATAGTTAAGAAGCGCAGAACGTGACACTCGAAAATAGCGAAAAAAAATTTTTTTCCGAAAAACAAATTTACAGTTAACCTGATTTCTCAAAATTGAAATATGAATAATTCAAAGTTAATCAATATAATTAATCAGTATAAATCAATTAAAGCGATAAAATCTTTAGTTGGCGAGAGGAAAAAAGATTTGGAATTCTGAGCAATAGAAAAAACTCTTTTTCGTGGTAACAAAATTTTCGTTTATGCAATTTTTTACAGAATAATATTTCAAAGCTATGACTATAAATTTTTAAAATTATTAATATAAATCACAATTTCACTCTGAATATGAGTTACAAATATAAAGTACAATATGAATAAAGTTCAAAAGCCAGTATGCTGTTTTAAAAACTTTTAAATTATAATATAATTTTTGTACGACAAAATTTTTTTTTCCATAAAAAATATTGTAATTTAAACATTATTTCTGCGGATGATTGCAATCTACAAATTTATACCAATTTTTATGTTAGATATCAAAATATCCATTGTATAAAGGCAAGAATAATGAAAGAAGGAGCGCTGAGCAATTTAGAAAGAATGCTTGAAGAGATATTGTCCTGATAGCCATATCAGTTGTGTAATGCTTTGATATATGCTTCGATCGGAACATATCATTGTAGTATGGATCTATTTTGGCGATTACTGCATCAAAATTTATAATACCACCGAAAAGTGGTGCTGCAAAAAATTGTGTATTAATGAAGAAAAGTAATTTTGGATTTGAGGTTTATTCAATTTTGGCTACAATTAGACTTAATTATAAGCTACTATGAGTATATTTATTTAACAATTAACAAAGAGAAGAAACAAACATTTGAGAATTTACAAGAAAAGAAATTAATTAGCAATGCTTGTTTTATACTAATCTTTTAGATTAAATGGATTATTAATTGATCCTAAAATACTATTCCTGCAACTCTTCTAGTTATGGCCGTAATAATCCAGGCATTTCTTACTATTTATATCCTGTAGCTCACATTTTAGCCAATTGACCTTAGCTGTTTAATCCCAAATTCTGAAGACCTACCACTATACGTTGAAAATGGCGCTCTTGCATGAATATCGTTGCATTTATTTTTACGATTGCAAACACAGGTCGTTTGATTCACGGAATCTTCACAAAGAAGCGTAGCTCCTACACGTGTCGTAAGTAATTCAGCACGTTGTCGTGAAAATGTTAAATCGGTAAGTTGCCAATCAGTTAATGTCAAACAACCGGCCATATACTGGTATACCGGACAATTTTTGCATTGTCCTCAAATATTTAATTATATGGAGCATTTTCCAGTTCATTTTATTCGGCATCATTTTTATTTGATTGACAGTAAAATATGTCATTTATTAAATTAATGGAAAAATTAAATTAATGGAAGATAATAAGGTTTAAGAATTTAAAACCTTATTATTAATGGATAACACAATTTTCTTTCCTTTAAAAAATATGTTGTATGGTTTAGTGTTCCATGTATTTTTCCATATCAGTTAATTTAAATCAAGATTTAAGGTCATTTTCAAAGCTTCTGCAATTAATGTCGAATGTATAAAAGTAAATTATGAAGGTTTGAAGAAATGTTCAGTTAATGCTCAGAAATTTCATCTATGCCTTTTCTTTTGAAGCACCGAAAATTATCAAAATTTGGAAAAGTGTAATTTGTCGGGAAAATATGACTTAATTTTATAGCGAGTAAATTACAAATTTATAAAAAAAAACAACGCAAAATTTATGCAACACTTGAGAATCTCTATGCTTTACTTACAAAATAAAATTCCAAGTTTCTAAAAAAAAATAAAAAATATTTTGAGACGAATAGTAATGGAAAATAATATGTGCTATAGTGGTCAGCAAAAAATTTTTTTGCAATCAAGGAATTCTTATGAGATTTTCCTATCGATTATGAGATGAAGCAATACAACCATTTAAAATAAGTTTTCTAAAAATACACAAATTTAGTTCTTTGTTTCTATTTAGAAATAAAAATTAATGTTTTTAATCCAGTAGTATAATTGATAAAATGCATTTCAGCGAAGCATTATCTAACAATGATAAAAGAAATTTCTTTTAATGATTATATTAAGAAATCTCAAAACATACTCATAAAACAAACGTTGCCCGTACAAGTACGTGAATGCGGTCCACACGTAGAATGAGAATCTTTAGCTAACATATGCCATAATTGAACACACTGTCGACACGTAACGCTTGGAAGCTGTCCATCCAATTCGAAATCATCCGTTAAACCAAAAAATGAAATTGTATTTTGAACAAGCGCACAGTGAACAATCACCAAAAAGGATGTCAGCATTAACAAATAAGTACCGCCGTATCACGTAATATTTTTCTCACATCCTGTAAAATATTTAATTCATTCCTTTCATAAAATATAAAATACTTAAATATTCAAGCTTTAATCGATTTAAATTAGCATTTTGGTGTTTAAAATATCAGTTAAAAGAGGGAAGGATGTAATAATTAATGCTTAATTCATTCTGTTTAATCAAATTATACTGTCATCAGTTCTGAACGCCTATGATTTTGGCTAGAATACTAAAGCTAAAAGAAAGAATTTAACGTTGTAGTCCTACGACACTTAACTATATTTTGATATGATTAAATTAAAGATATATTCAAAATTTCTGACATAATATTTCAATTTGTGCTTTAAAAATCTTTCAAAGATAAAAGAAAAGAACTTAATCATTTTCTACAGATTACTTAGCAATAAATACCATTATCAACATTTATAACCTTTTTTTTGCTCGATTTATTTAACTCATTTCATAATTTTATTCCATTAAAAGTAGACTTTTTATTATAGCCTATAAATGACTAATTTATTACTATCAATATTATTTAAATTACTATTTTTTTCATCTTAACATTTTATTACTATTTTTAGATATCAAATTTAATCTAGCGAAAGCTGTAACAGTAAAAATTAGTGAATGTACCGATAGTACAGTAGAGAAAAAGAAAAACTTGCGAAGATATGTGAAGATAAAAGCTAACTAAAGTTTGAATGATATGTCTAGACAAGGGAAGAGTGTTTGAAATGTTTGTTAAAATGAACTATTTCAGGAAAGTTAACATCATTGGCTACATGGGAAGAGAAAGACAAAGTAATAAATCAACTTTCTTTCAACTGAGGTAATTATTCCCTTTCATTTTTTTATCTTATCCATTAACATGTAAAGAGGTGAAAGAATAAAAAGTGAGAATTAACAAAATTTGAATTGATTGCAGAGGTATTAATCGAAAAATACACATTAATAAATTTATGAAATTAACATATCAGCACATAAACTGTTAATTAGATACATATTTGTAATAGGTTTTTTTAAAATTAATTTTAAATGATCAAATTACAATAAGTAGTGAAAGATTAATTTAAAATAAAACGAATTATTCCGCGTATATTTTGCCCATCATATATTACTTTTTTTTGAACAAAAACAATAGCTTTTCATTTGTTCTCCCAACAAAGTTTCTCTTGAAAACTTTTCCAGTAATGTTACTTGTTTTTTAAGTTTGAATGATTTTGCAAGGATAAGTAAGTCAATATGAAAAGTTATTGGAGGGTCATAGAAATTGCAATTGTCAATCCGATAGCCGATAATTTTCTTCCATATAATGAACAATTCATAAAAAATAAAATAAATTATGCTTAAACTGAACTAATCTTCAGGCTTTACATAATAATTCTTCGATCGCCGTATTATTGTAGAATTAAAAAGAGTAAATTGAATTATTTTGAGCTATTTTGTCCACCATACATTTATATGCATATAACTTATAGATAATCAAAGATTTGCGGAACTCACAAGTTTAATAAACAATGATAGACTAAGAATTTAAAAGAGAGGCATCTATCACATGAAATCAAAATTTATCATCAATTTCAACTTGAATTCATCATCAATATGACAATATGAAGTGATCAAAGATTCCTTTCAGCAGAAACAACGAGAGATCATGCAACATATTTATATAAAATTTTTCCAACTTTTTTTTCAGTACAAAGATTTAAATTATGAGATTTTTCATATCACTGAAATGGTAATTTTATAGTTGAAGATGAAATTCTTTTTCCGCTTACTCAATTTTTTAGTATTTTATTAATTTTTAGATGAAAAATTCCCATGTGATAGTTGAAAATATTAGCTTTGCTAGCATTTTCTTTCAAAAAAAATTCATACATAAAATTACAATTTTTGTGTTTGTTCTTCTCCAGAGAAATCAAAAAATTTCCGAAAAACAAATTTTAAAAGCTAAAAAATTTGAAAAAAATTAATGCTAAACTGATTTCACTAGGATTATCAGCATTGCATGGCAATCGCAAGCAACAAATTATTTCATATTTATCTATGAAAAAATGATTTATGAAGCTAATTAACTGATCATTAATTTTGCTCCCCCACAAAAATTTTGAGTAAATGAGGGATTTTAATTCCTTATTTTCTGTAATTTTAAGAAGCCTAAAAATAAATGTTATGATATTGAAGTAATTAATAAGTTATTAAAATTATCTATAAAAGACTTATATCTACAAAGCCTCGCATCCAATATTAGGGTAAGAAAATATTGAGCAAAATATTTAGACTTTGTAAAAAGTCATTTATCTAATTTCATTTCTTACTACCGCGAGATTGTCCTGTGATTGAGTAAGGAAGGACATCGTTTAAATTTGATGGCCTAAATTTCAAGAAATACTTCGTTTTTTTCTCAGCATCTCTTGGTCTCGCATGCTTAAATTAAATATTATGAATATTCCGCCATTATTTCAGTTAAAATTTTTAGCAAATTCAATTAGTTCAATCAGATATTTTAATGATATCTCGAAATTTTTTATTATTCTATTCAAAATTATGTGCAGCCTCTATCTCTCCTTTAGAACTTGATTGATTAATTAACTAATTGATTGGTTGATTTCCAGAAGATCTCAGTGTACATAGAAAAATTTTGAAATAATTAGAAAACAGATATGTATGAGAGTTAAAGCTTTGGTCATGAAATGATCATTAGCTAAACAGTAAAACATGAGGAGTATAACATTTTAGGTGGAAAAATCCAACATAATAAATAATCACATTCATCCCTAACGAGGCCGATATATAGTAGCCTAAGGTTTTAGAAAGATATTTTCGTCACAAATTTTTATAATAGAAAAAGTACAAATTTTCTTGGCCCTAAAAACTATTTATCACAAATCGAACAAATTTGTGATGTTTCTAAGAAAAATTTTAAATGCTTTGCAAGAAATCAATTAATTCCATAGCAGTGAGTTCGAACACTGCAACGGTTTTTCTCTCTTCCTCTTTCTCTCCCTCTTTCTTCTTGATTGCTTAACGGTCATAATCATTAGGCTAAATATTTGCACAAGAAAGGAAGAGAAAGAAAGAAAGTTTTTTAATCACAAATGAAAAGTGCAATTAACTTTAATTGTTAGATGAAAATAATTGGATTTTATCAAAAGTTGATGAAATTCAAGAAACTTTCAAAAAAAAGGAACTCGTTTAAACTATTTCATATAAATTGAATGAAAAACATTACATCCATTCACCAATTGATCACTTTACAACATAAATAGCAAAAATGTTTTATAATAATTACAAATCATTTTTGTAATTAACATCCCAAATATTGACTGGAAATTAAAATTAAACGATTGAAAAAGTCTAACAAAATTATCGGTCATAGAAGAGAATGTATAATCCTGAAATGAAGCAATTTTATGGGCATATTTTAGCATATTTGTGGGCTATAGGATTGCAAAAAAAAGAAACGAAAAACATACATTGCCTAAG